AGGAGGACCTGCAGTCGGTGGTGGAAGTGGCTGCCCACGTGTTCAGCGATGGGATCACAAACTGGGGACGTGTGGTGACTCTCATCTCCTTCGGTGCCTTCGTTGCCAAACACCTGAAGACCATGAAGCAGGAGCAGTGCATCAGCTCCTTGGCAGAAATCATCACAGACGCTCTGGTCTCCTCCAAGCGCGAGTGGCTGCTGAGCCAGGGGGGCTGGGTGAGTCACTGCCTGCCCTGGACACCACCACCACCATTCCCAACAGCCCAGACCTTTCCTATCCCTGTGACCACCACATGTGTCAGGCAGTGAGCTGACTCACTGCCCTTAGAACTGCAGTGGGAAGCACTCTGCTGGGGTTGTGCTGTTCCAGGGGCTCTTCAGGAGCTGCCCGAAGCACTTTAACCTCCAAATGTGCCCCAGTGTGGCAGCATTCCCTAAGCTGAGTCACTCCTGGCTGCTCTGAGCTTACTTGAATCATAGAATCATGGTTAAGAGGTTGGAATGGAGCTTAGAAATCATCTAGTCCTGCCCTGGGCAGGGACACCTCTCTCCAGAGCAGGTTGCTCCAAGCCCCATCCAACCTGGGCTTGATGAATGAATCAGGGAATGGTTTGGGTTGGGATGGAGCATAGAGATCTTCCAGTTCCATCCTCTGCCCTGGGCAGGGACACCTCCCACCAGAGCAGGTTGCTCAAGGCTTTAGCCAACCTGGAATGAACAGTGCCAGGGTTGGGGCATCCACAACATATCCCTGGGGCATCCAGCCCCACACTCCTGGGCAGTAGAGTTACTTGGGGCTGGCTCACAGCTGATTTGGTGGCTGCCTCAGTTGTAATGGGTCTGGGGGAAGCTCACTGGGATGTGCCAGGCAGGATTTACCCCTGGCCAGGAGAAAAGGCCTCTCCTGCCAAAGAGGAGTGGGTGGCTGGTTTAGCCCCAGTAGCCACCAAACCCCTCACAGCCTCTCATTCTCTCCCCACCAGTGGGATGGGGGAGAGATTCTGAAGGGTGGAACATGGAAAACTCCTGTGTTGGGATCGGGACAGTTTAATAGGGAAAACAAAAGCTACACACTAGCAAAGCACAAAACAGGGAGTGAATTCCCTGCTTTCCATGGGCAGGAGGTGTTCAGCACCTCCAGGTGCCCCATCACCTGTATTGGTGACCTGGGAAGACAAAATCACCATTACTCAAAGTCTTTCCCTTCCTCCTCTTTCCCCAACTTTATCCACTGAGCATGATGCCATATGGTCTGGGATATCCCTTTGGATCACCTCTCCTGGCTATGTCTCCTCCCAATTCACCCCCAGCTTCTTTGCCAGTGTGGCAGT